CTGTGTCTTGGTGATAAGCAATTCTTTTTTTTAATCTGGAAATACTTTTATTTTGCTTTCATTCTAGTGAAAAATAAAAAAAATTTTTCTACACATACTTGTAAGTTGACAGTTTGTTGTATTTCTTAAGATTTGAAAATAAAATTCTACTTTTTCTGGCTCATGTTATTGCTTTTAAAAAGTGTTATCAGTTTAAAGTCATTTCTTTTAGGAAATCTGTCTTTTCTCTTTAACCGTTCTTTATTTTTGGTGGTTTTGACAGTCTCATTGCAATGTGATGTTTTTTTTCAATGCTACTTGGTTCATTTTGTTGCTTTTCTTTTCTTTTTTTAGGAACACATTAAATTTCATTATTAAAAAAGTGCTGTCCCCCTCATTGGTTAGCCTGAAGATTAAATGAGATATATCATGTAAAGTATTAGCATAGGATCTGGAGTGTGATAAAGACTCCATGAGTGTTAATGCTTTTATTATTAACATTTGCGTTATCATATCACCCTTTAGTGAGTTCATATCCTTCAGTTCTAGACAATTCCCAGCCATTTTAAATTATTCTCCTTTTTCTCAACTCTGTTGTTCTGGGATTCCCAAGTACTGAGTTTAGACCTCAGTTTTTCTTCAGGTTCTCTCTCTCTCTCTCTCCCCCCCCACCCCCCTCCTCTTTCTCTCTTTCCTTTTGTGGTAAAATATACATAACAGCCTTGACCAGTGCAGCTCAGTTGGTTGGGTATCGTCCTGCAAAGCCAGAGGTTGCTGGTTCAATTCCCAGTCAGGGCACATGCCTCAGTTGTGGGTTCCTTCCCAGACTAGAGTACGAACAAGAGGCAACTGATTGATGTTTCTCTCCCACATCAATGTTTTGCGCCCTTTCTTTCTCCTTCCCGTCCCCTCCCTAAATAAGTAAGTAAACTGCAAAACAATTTACCATTTTGACCATTTGTAAGGACAGTTACATGGCATTAAATATATTCACACTCTTGTGTGCGTATTTCTGCCATCCATCTCCAGAACTTTATCCTCCCAAACTGAAACTCTGTACTCATTAAATAATGTCATTATTTCCCCCTCCCCCAGCCCCTGGCAACCATGATTTTTCTTTATAGCTGTATGAATTTGATTTCTCTAAGTACCTCATATACAGTATCCTTTTGTGATTGGCTTGTTTCGCTTAGCATAATGTCAAGGTTTGATCATAGTGTCAGAATTTCCCTCCTTTAAAAAAATTTTTAATACTCATAATAGAAATTTTACCATCTTAACCATTTTTAAGTGTCAAGTTCAGTTATATTAAATACATTCATATTGTTGTGCAGCCAATGTCCAGAACTCTTTATCTTGTAAAACTGAGACTTTATACCCATTTCTGAGCTGTTTCTATTCAACACTCTGACACCAAATTTGTTGGGGATTGGGGGTGAGGTTTCCCCACACCAACCAATTCTCCAACTTTCCAGATAGTAAGTAAGCCTAGGGTTCCCATGAACCCTTCTCTGATTCAGTGGTTTTGCTAGAATGACTTACTAAATTCGAGAAAGTACTGTTTATACTTTATTATAAAGGATGCAACTCAGGAATGGCCCAATGGGAGAGAGATGTATAGGACAAGGTATGGGGCAAGGGGCACAGAGCTTTCGTGCCCTCTCCGGGCACACCACCCACCCTTCCAGCATCTCTGTGTGTTCCCCTGGAAGCTCTCTGAACCCCATCATTTAGAGTTTGTTATAGGTGTTTCACTTTGTTGCCATGATTGATTATCATTGACTGTTAGTGACTAACTTCCCTCCCTGGAGGTCAGGAGTAGGACCAAAAGTTCCAGCCCTCTAATCATGCCTTGGTCTTTCTGGCAACCTTAAAAAGGAAGGAAATTCAGTAGCTATTTAGGGGCCACCAGTCATCTCATTCACATAAAAAAAAAAACATTCTTACCACTCAGGAAATGGTACAGGTTTCAGAAGCTGTGTATCAGAAACTAGTAGCAAAGACCAAATGTATCTTTCTTACTTTTTTAAACCCTCACCCAAGGATATGTTTATTGATTTTTTAGAGAGACAGGAAGGGAGAGAGAGAAAAACTATCAATGTGAGAGAAACACTGGGTATCAAACCCACAACTTAGGTGTGTGCCCTAACTGGAATCCAGCCCACAGCCCTTTGGTGTATGGGACACCACTGCTCAGGACCCAGCCACGGCCCAAATGTGTATTTCTTATTGTCTCACCTATTAAAAAATAACTCCTAATTCTCCCCTTCTCCTAGCTCATGGCAACCACCAATCTACAATACTTTGTGAATTTGTCTAGGTGCCCCCATATGAATGGAATCTTAACAGTATTTATCTTTTTGTGACTGCCTTGTTTCACTTAGTATAATACCTTTAAGAATTATCTGTGTTGGACATGGGTCTGAATTTCCTTCATTTTTAAGGCTAAATGAATATTCCATTGTACATGTATAAACATTTTATTTATCTCTTCATTCATTGTTAGACACTTCAGTTGCTTTTACCTCTTGGCTGTTGTGAATAATGTTGCTATGAACATGGATATACAAATATCTGTTCAGCTCTTTGTCTTTCAAGGATTAAACATACTAGGCTCATGTTCAGCTCTCTTCCTGATCTTAGAACTGGTTGAGGCATTTGCCCTCAAGCCACCTCACCTTTTATGGGTTTTCTTACTGATCACTACTCCTGCTTCTCCTCACTCTAAGTGTTTTAATTTTACTTATTTATGGTCCTTGGAGATTCTCCTTGCTTTTTACCAAGCCCAGCAGTGCATAAAAATTGTTAGTTGTAGTTTATCTAGGATCTAGTTTTATTTGGATAGGAGCGCTGTTCAAGATACCTACTCAAGAATACTACCAGAAGTAGTATCTACTAAACTTTTGAGTTTGAAACATACATGATCTGAATATACAATGCAATACTACTTAGTCATAAAAAGTGATGAAATACTGCTCTTGGGAACAACGTGAATGGATCTTGAGAGTATCAAGCTAAGTGAAATAAGCCAGATGGAAGGGGACAGGAATTATATAGTTTTACTCACATGTGGGATATAAAACAGAAAACAACAAACTCATAAATACAAACAACATTATGGAGGTTACCAGAGAGGAACGGGGTAGAGGAAAAAAGAAGAAGATAAAGGAATTCAAATATATGGTGACAGAAGTAGACTAGCCTAGAAGTAGTAGACTAGACTCTGGGTGGTGGGCGCACAGTGCGATACCCAGATGTTGCGCATTATAGAATTGCACACCCAAAACTTACATGATGTTATTAACCATTGTCACCTCACAAAAATTTTCATTTAAAGAAAATACATGTATGATACCATTTTTTTTTTCTGGCCCAAAAATAAAATTTAAGGAGGTAGACATTTTCACCTTTCTTTGTAATGATAGATCTGTATTGTGTGCGTGCATGTGGTTTTGGTGTATTTAACTTCAAAGTTATTTTGAGGGTTAAGTAACATTCAGGGAGTGAATGATGGGGAACAGCCTGAATCTCTTAACCTTCTGTGTTCACTCTCGGCTGTTTTTCAAAGACAAATAAATTACTAGTTAAAGAACGTTTTCGATTAAGTATATCAAATAATGTTCTTTTAGTTGCTTAATACCTGCCAGTTGTGAAATACCTTTAATAATACATAATCTATTGAGTATAAGTGTAAAATTGTCTTAGATTTCTTTCCTCTGACTCTTTTTCTTGCCATAATTACTGAATTAAGGAAAACTCAGATAAAAGCACTGTGACATCCAGCACTTTTACCAAGAAAGATGTGCTAGTAAAAATCTAACCAGAATAGTCTCTATGTCATGTATGTTCTTACATCTGCTTTCCTTTGCATGTTCAGATTCTCACAATAACTGCCATAGGACAGGAATGTTAGGGGTGAAAGTTAACTAATGTTATCAGTGAAGAACAAAAATATACTGATCTGAGTTTACAGTGGACTAGAGTTTAAAAAAAGACAAACTTTTCCATGTTAACCTGCACCTGCCTTAGTGGCAAGTAGTATTCTTAATTAAATATTAAGGACAGTATTGAAATGCACGGACGGAAAAGGAAAACGTGAAAGATAGCTGGATGAGAATTAAGAGAAGATGGGGATATGAGAGTATAGATGAAAAGATATACTGTAGTAAAGTTACTGATTTGTTACTTGACAGATTTTTATAAATGTCTGAAGGGAAAGGACATACACATATAGTATAAAGACATGCTTATTACCGAGGGCTTTTGTGATATAAAAATACATTCTAAAAGGTTCAGATTAGGTTCATTAAGAAGAATAAATACTTACCTTAGAGGATAACGTGTTTATATTTTAAAAATTAGAAGCCCATCCCCACTCAAAACTGTCGTGCTCCTTTGAGTTATCTACATGTTATCACAAGTGACATGTATTGGGTAAAGCTGTGAGTTTTATTTCCTTCCTGATTACATTTCCTGGTAAGTTATTAATATTTTGAAAATGGTTTGGAGAGAAGAAAAATATTTCATGTTTGAATTGGTTACATTTCTTTTTTTTTTTTAGATTGTAGATTAGAATGATGTGTAAGATAACTGCATTAATTTTTGAGCTTGGCAGTCTTTTTAGGATAGTAAATTTATTTATTCCTAATTATGCATATAACTGCTTTTACGGCAGTAAAGTGTTTTGAAATTTCATGTGGCTTTATTTCCTTGACAGTTTCTTAAATAGCATAGAAAATATGATGTCTTATATTTAATTTTAAATTTTAATACAGTTGCTAATTTTAGTATTATTAAGTATCAGTATTTTAAGAAAGTAGGCTAAAAAGGATTATTATGAAAAATAAGAGATTATATCAAGTGAAGAATATACAGTATACCTGGATTGTTAGAAGTTTGATTAATGAAATGAAGCTATATTTGAAATGAATGATTATATAGTAACGTGTAACTAAATTATTTTTGTTAGGTTATTAAAGAAGTACAATACAAATGATTTTCTCCTGGTTTTTCTTTTCTAGAAAATTTTAAGAGCATGCACTGACCAAGTGAAAAAGTATCCAGAATTCTATACTCTCCATGAAGTCACCAGCTTAATGGGATTCTTCCCATTCAGAATAGAGATGGGACTAAAGTTAGAAAAAACTCTCCTTGCATTGGTAAGGTTTGCCATATCAAAGTATATACTTATTCTTGTTCAAAATGTCATCTCTATTTAACATAGACAACATTTGTGTATAAATTTTGAACAATAATGTGATACCACGTTTAAAATATACAATATAAATGTGTCCCTTTTTTTGTGGATTCCAGTACTTGATGTTTTTAAAAATGTCACTACCCACTTTATTTCTTGATTTTCTTTTTTTAGTACCCATCTTAATGTTACTGAATGTAAGCAAGAAGTCTTTTTTTTTTTTTAAAGGAATTTTACACCCAATCATACTGGAAGTGTGGTAAGAGGATAGTTTAGAGTTTCTACTATACCCTATGATAATTTGTACTTCATAATATGAGAGGTTAAAATGTAAAGTGGCAGGGAAAATTCTATGGCACCCTTGTCTTTGACCCTTTTTATATATATGCTTGTATAAAATATATATATACATATAATATATATACATAGTGGTTGTCAAGCAAAAACATGAAAGCCTTGACTTAAGAAGGCTCTAAATTTTACATTTTCATTTAGTAGAATGAAGAATTTTAACTTCAAAGTTTCTTACGATGAAAAGATACTTAGGAAAAAATACATCGAGATTTTTTCAGTAAACATTTATTTTTTTTCTTATTTAGGGTAGTGTGAAATATGTGAAAACAGTATTTCCCTCAATGCCTGCAAAGTTGCAGCTCTCAAAAGATAATACATCTACCATTGAGACACCAGAAGAAACAGCTACAGCTATGCATTACGTAAGTATGAAGGTGGTTTCGGATCTTTATAAGTAATCTTCTGTACCTAATAAAGTACATATCATCTGATTATTCTGAAGTCCCCTTCATGACTTTCTTACTTCTTTTTATTACTTCATTAAAGAAATTTCCAAGGGGTGGTAGGGGAAGGGGGGACAAGTGGATTAAATGGTAATGGAAAAAAATACAATAAATTAATTTACAAAAAGAAATTTCCAATAAATATAATGAAGTAACAAGTCTAATGTTGTTTTTCAGGATATTAGTAAAGATCCAAATGCAGAGAAGCTTGTTTCAAGATACCACCCTCAGATAGCTCTAACTAGTCAATCATTATTTGCCTTATTAAATAATCATGGACCAGACTACAAGGAACAGTGGGAAATTCCAGTGTCTATTCAAGTAATACCTGTTGCAGGTTTGTGATTTCCATGTCAGCTAATGCTCTCAGCAGAGGGAGTTGTAATGGTTCTATTTCAGTGGTCTAATTATAGTCAGTTGTCAAATACAAAAATACAAGTTTTGATTTAAGGAGGATGTAAGTTTGACATTTACATTCAATAGAACTTTTTAAATAGATAGTGCTACCATAGAATTGACACTCATAGATAAATTAGATGTATAGAACCTGTATTCCTGTTAGGGCTAAGAGGTATTAGAGTAATAATTATGGTTTAGTGTGATTAAAAATTCATGCGATGGTCAGATTCTTTATCTTTCAATGAAATGAAAGGAATACAATACTTTATTGGGCAATCTCAAATGGGTGAGTTTCCAGGACTTATTTACTTGTCTGCTATTGGAATTCAGAATTCAAATAGGTCTATACTTATGAGCATAGGTTAGTCTGTCTATTGATAATAAAATTATATCTGCGTGTAAAGTCCTCTGTACAAAACATTATTCCTTTTCTATTTTGATTCATATTTAATAATTTTTTTATCTTCCAGAACTATTACTGTTACATGTATCAACATAATTTTAATATATTAAGGACTGTGTCTAATGAAACAAAACTACAAATTAGAGTTAAATGTAATGCATTCTCTGTGGTAAAAATTTTATCACTGTTTGAAAGCATAACCCTATAAGAACTGAGTATTAATGATGGTAAAAGTGTAACAATAAAAGCAGAAATCCTTTTTAAAAAATTCTTAGAAAGAAAACATATTTTTCTTGCCAGTCAGATTCTCTGGTCCTCAGATCTCTAAGGGACTTTAAAGATTTTCTAGTTCAAGGGTGGCAAATATACGGGACTTGTGCTACCACTTTCTTATTCTATGTCTCTTTGTTTAGTGATCCTTCTGTCATACATCCTGGTATTTTTTTCCTTAAATATAACTACTAGAAACTAATCATCCTCTTCTGTTTCTGTTTTAAGGTTCAAAACCAGTTAAAGTAATTTATATTAATTCACCACTTCCCCAAAAGAAAATGACAATGAGAGAGAGAAATCAAATCTTCCATGAAGTTCCATTAAAATTCATGATGTCCAAAAATACATCTGTTCCAGTCTCTGCAGTATTTATGGACAAACCAGAAGATTATATACCTGAAATGGATGTATGTAATGTTTTTTGGTTGTTTTTTTTCTTAAGGGAATGTATTCATTTATTCTGTTGAAGCTTAAAGTTTTATTGCAGGTCTCTAAACCTGTAGATAAAAATGTAGGCTTTATTTGAAACTTAAAATTGGACCCCAGGTCAAGCTAGCCTTTTGGCAACTAATTTAACTTCCCTTAGCCTCAGTTTTTTTCTCCTTTAAAAAAAAAAAAGATAATACCTACCTCACAAGATTGTTGTAAGCATCAAGTGTAATATCACATGTAAAATGCTGAGCACAGTCTTTAGTGCATATGTACTAAAAGATCAATCAGTGATGGCAGTAATTGTGGTGAAGTTTTATTTAATTATTCTTATTTACATTTAAATTTTTTTTAAGTATGAAAAGGAACAGATGAATTTCATTGGTACAAAACATACTTGGCCAGATTGTTAATCCTTTTCAGTATACTTAGCAGCTGTGTGACCTTAAGTGAGCTACATAACCTCTTTGTGTCTGCGATGCTTGTCTGTAAAATGGGTATCATGATATCATCTAACTCATGGGTTATTTGGAATTAAATGAATTAATACATGTAAAGCACTTAGAACACTGCATGGCACTCCATAAATAGTAGCTTTTATTATTTTGTGTATTTTAAAGTATTTTTCCATGATTATAAAAGTAAGACATTTTGTTTATACCAAACTTTCTTCATTTGTTCCACAGCTCTTTATTGAGTAATACTGTTCTATGCACTGAGGATGCAGCAGTGAATAAAAATAAAGTGTCTTTTCTTCTGGAGCTTAAATCAGTGGCAGAGGGCACAGATAATTAAAACAATAGCAAAGAAAGCAGGTAGTAATAAATGCTATGCAGAAAAACAGAGTCGGTTAAGGGAAAAGAGATAGAAATGGGAATATTTGAGATTCATCATCAAGAAGGCTTTCCCAAAGACAGGAAATCCGAACAGAGACATGAATAAAGTGAGAGAAAAAACAAAACAAAATTAGAAAATAAAACAGAAGAACTTTTTTTATTACTGCCTAAGAGCACATACTGTTTTAAGGATATTGGTCTTTTGTCTTTTATATTTGTTTATATACATATTTTTTCTGTTTTCCATTTGTCTTTTAATATTTTTATAACGTATATGTCATAGAACATTTCCAGCTGTTCTTAAATTTTTTGTTTCACATTTTTAAATCTACCTAAAATTTATATTAATGTGAGGTGAAGGTCAGGAGGTAACAAGTATTATGAAAAAATATGAAGTAGATTAAAAGGGATGAAAACTGACAGAGTAACTCCTTTCTTTAATGGAAGACCACATTATTTGGATCTTTCCCATTACTGCTGACAACTAAAAAAAACTGAACAAAATAAAAAAATTCTTTCTTAAAATCATCAAAGACCTAACAAGATAGTGAGGAATTGCAGGGCTGAGGTATCAGAGAAAACCAGAACTCAGGAAGGTAAGGCTGTCACTTAGTGGTTTTTTGTTTTGTTTTTGTTTGGTTTGGTTTATTTTTTGCCCTGGATGGTATTGGCCAGTTCTGAAGGGGCTGCAGAAAATGAGCTGTGGTTTTGGCAGCATCAGCGGAGTAGGGACACAAAAGTCACAGTACAGTTTTTCATCAAGGCTTGGACCCTGCAGGGCCACACCCCAAAAGAAAGGTGAACCAGAAACAAATCAGCTTTCTCAGAGGTTGTAGCTTGAGTTTTCAAGCCTTGAACTTGGATTTTCAGATGCCCTTAGATTACTACTGTCTCTAGATATGTAGCAAAAGCAAATGAAAACAATTCTTAGAGGAACATACCATTTTGAGCTTCGACTTGTTTCTGCGAATTACTTTTAATAATATAGCATAATTTTTTAGCTCTTTTTTTACTCCTCAACTGAGGACATGTTTATATTGATTTTTGAGGGAGAGGATGGGGGAAAAGAGAGAGAGAGAAACACTGATAGAAGAGAAGCATCTATCAGTTGCCTCCTGCACACGCCCTGACAGGAGATTGAACTGGCAACACAGGCATGTGCCCTAACCAAGAATCAAACCCACAGCCTTGTGGTGAAAGGGATGATGCTGCAACCAACTGAGCCACCCAGCCAGGTCTAAAAAATAACTTTTTAAAATATAGATAACTAGAAACAGAACGAGACCAGATAGATACTATAAGGTAGAGCCATCAGAAACAATGACCAAAGGAACAGTCTCACATAAATGGATCTTAAAATTATCCATCAAAAGCTATTAGCCAACTCTGTTTAATTATACAGCATTCAAGGATATTAATGCTTGAAAATTTCAGTGAGGAACTGGAAACTTTTAAAAGCTAATAACAGATTTGAAAAAGAACTAAATAAAAATTTTAAAACAAATACAGTAAATACAGTTAAGAGTTCTGTAAATGGGGTCATTTAAGCACATTAGATAAAGCTGAAAAAATAAGCAGTAAACTGAAAGATGGTCTGAAAAGACTATCTACAATGTAACACAGACAACAAAAAGAGGATATAGTGAGAATGTCTAACATGTGTAGTTGCACCCAGATAAATGGTATAAGAGAGACATTGGGACCAAATCATTACTTGGAGACAGAGAAAAAACTCTTAAAAGCCATCAGAGAAACAAAATGACTGAGAGTTAGACAGGCAAATAACTTCTCAACAACAACAATGGAAGCCAGAAGACATTGGAATGTTGTATTGTGCTAAGAAGAAGAAAATCCATTTACTAAAATTTTCTAACCAAATTAAAACTTTTTTTTTCATTAAAAATTGATTTTGCTACCAGTAGACCCCCTCTAAGGGATAGTCTTCAGGCACAAGGAAAATAATCCCAGATGGAAGGAGGAATGAAGAATAACAAAAGTGAAAATAATGCATATAGGCTCTAATTTTAAGTGATTGCAGGGACACTCAAGCAGTTAAGAGATTTGTGAGGGGACCTGGGCCCTAAGAACTCTAGAAGCTAACCAGCTAAAGTCCCTTCCAAGACAAAAGCCTTCACTCAGGGAAAATTACCAGTAGTAGAATCCATATTGACCAGAACAAGGACATTAAAGGTAAAGAAAAGTTTTCAGATGACTGTAGGAGAGAGGAATAGAGGAACCAGATGTCAGAATATACTCAAGATTCACACACATACCCACAAAGCTGCATGTATGCATACTTTGTGGTAACAGTGAAGTATGAGCTTAGAGCCATGAAGCTAAGAAAGCTGTCCTGGCACATCCCCACATACGATGGTTCCCTCATAGGAGCAGGATAGCCCCTCATTTAAACATGAAGAACAGAAGAAGATTGTTGATGAAAATTTTTACAATGGTATTAGAGGAAAAAGAAACAATTGCTGTAACATTTCTAGTCAAGATATACCCACAAAATGTGAACACTGTTCATTCTAGAAATCTCAACTTTAGAAGTGTAGCTCAGAAGTACACCAGAAAAAGAACAAAATGTATGTGCAAGGTATTCGTTGCAGTGCTGTTTGCAGTAGTAAAAGATTGTAAGCAATTCCCATGTCCCTTACTAGGGTATTGATTAAATAAAGGGTACATTCTCAATATCATAATAAGCAGCTATTAAAAAGAATGAGGAAATTCTAGATATTCAGCTATACAGTGACATCCAAGATATATTGTTAAGAGAAAAAGGCAAAGAAGAGAACAGGTCATGTAATAGGCTGCTTTTTATTTAAGGAGGTAAGAAACAGGATGGAGCAAAAGTAGGTTTACATTTGTGAGTATGTGAAACAGTTTATTCTAGTATTACTATTTATTAATTATTATTTTCAATACGAACAACTGTGAAAATTTTGTCCCAGTCTGTATACACACACACACACATACACACACACACACACACACACACATTTGCATACATTTTAAAAGAAAATTCACACAATGAAGAATAAACTTAAAACTAATGAAAATGGTTAATTGGAGGAGGGATGGAACAAAGTAGAGGAGGCAGGATTAGCACCTGGATTTCTCTGAATATCCTTTATAGTATTAACTTTAAGCCATATAAATATTTTACATGTCTATAAAATAAATTTTAAAATGTTAAAAAAAAGCCAATCAAAGCTGAAATAAAACAAATGAATCCACTCTATACTAAGTTAGTGGTTTAACCAGTCAGAGAAGAATTAGTTTAAGTGATTAGAAACTTGGTAATTTGACTGTACATCCCTAAGGATTTATCTACTAAGTTCAGAAAGAATTGCTGAAAAATCTTAAACAGCATTTAGTAGTCATATTGTTATTAATGATACTTCTATTTTTATTTTGAATACATTAGATAGCTTGATAAAGCAAATAAGTAATTATGTTTATATTAAGAACTAAGAATTTCAGTGTAAGAGATACAAATGCCAATCAAAGACGTTAAGTAAAAGCCCTATAATAATACTAGAATCATATCAAAAAGATGTGAGAGCCAACTTGAAGGGTTTCCTATTGGCCAGAGATGTGTCAGTTTGACCATGATAAAGGATGACTACAGTGGATTGAAACATAGGAAATATGTTAAAAATCCTTGAATTTATAATGATACTTCACAAAAAGTACTAGTCACTTTCAGAGAATGCTAGTACTTGAAGTCATTATTCTGACAACTGATTTAAAAAAATCAAGTATTTGTCTTGCCTTTCCAGTACAAACTATATTTCAGGGTAATGAGAAAATATGACTATCATCATTTTGTAGCTGCTAATGAAATAGTGAATCTAGGCAATGATCCTCATCAATAGCTGCTAAAATCATTAGGAGATCAATGAGGAATTTTATAATGGATAGATTAAGTTGATGAAACTTGATGAACCAACAAATCAATTGTAATATCACAAGAAGAAAGATAACCAGACATCATTAACCTCCTGATTGAAGTGGGGGCACAAAGTGCCACAAATAACATATTCAGGTTAAAAATTTGTACCTGAATCTGATCAAGTTACTAGATCATTTTAATAGGAAATTCCAAGGATATAAGAACGTGTTAAATGATATCTCAGGGATGCAGAACTTAAAATCCAAAATGTTGAAATGTTTACAGGATAATTAATCTGGTTTCTTCTACAAATATCTAGCTGGTGAGGAAGTTGGCAGAGTATGGGAAGAGTCATTTGACAAAATTAAGAGATGTATCCAAAATTGGATACGGATTCCAATAAACAATTGTAAAAAGACATCACACTGGGAAATTTTACATTTGACTTGATATTTTATAACATTAGAAATTATTAACTTTTATTAATATAATTAATGATATATTTTATCGAAGAATCCTTTTATAGCTACACAATATTTAGAGATGCATACTATTTACAGATAAATGATATTTTTCATTTTATCTAAATTCTGTTGGGAGTGAGAATTCTTTCTCAATTCATTAAATTTTGGTTTTATATTTATGAAATTTATTATGATTATATTATTTTCTTATTTCTTGCAAATGCTATGAATGATACTTCTGATTTTTAATGTCTAGTGTTCTAATTTTTGCTTTTAGGTATTTCATTATTATCTTATTAATCCATTTAGTAATTGGAGTATTTTTTTATTTCTAAGGACTTGGGTATTTTGTTTATTTACATTTTTCTTAATGATGCCTCATTTTATTTACTTCTAAACAAAGAGTAAGACCTTAGCAAATAGTGGTTTGTGCTGTATTGATTTTTTTTTAAATATTAAATTTATAGTCCATCTTTGGAAATGCCCCTTGGATTCTTGGGAGGGAAAAGGTATATCTTCGTAGTCTGTATATGTTTTCAGTCATTTACATGTATTTCTTTCAGTCATTTAATCTCATTCATACTTTCTATTTTTACATACTTAGAGACAGTGTGTCATTGGCCAAGTACAATAGTTTTTCTGTCAAATTTTCCTTTTATTTTTAAGTTTTGACTGCCTGTTTTGATGTGTTTGGCATGTTACAATTCATGACCAGACCATATCTATTCATCATGGATTTCTTCTTTATTCAGCGTAGGATTCCTTTTACTGTCTAATGCATTTTGTGTTGAATTCTGTTTTGTCTAACTATTAATATTGCTATTCTGTCTCTACTTCTTGATGTTATGCCCTGTGGTTTTATGTTTTAATCTTTGTGAAAGAATGTCCTATGTCAATAGCATACAGTTTAATTTTTTTTTTTTTTTTTTTACTAAATCTAGTCGTCTTTTTATTTTACTTAAGAGCTACCATTTACTGAGAAGCTACTATTGGGCCACAGACTGTATCAAGCAACTTTCTATATACAGTTTCTCATTTAATCCTTAGGACAAATCCAAGAAGATGACCCTATCATCACTATTTTAGTGATGAAGAAATTAAGGTTCAGAGACATTAAAAAAAACTTACACAGGTTGATCTTACTACTTAATTGCTGTCAGACAATTTCTTTCTCAAATCCTAAGCTGCAAAGCTAATAGCCCGGCCTGTAACTAAATTTCCATGGTATGTGTTTAAAATGCTATGCCAGACTAAGGAGAAATCTGTTGTAGCTTTGGGGAGAGGACAGTTTATTCCTGAATAAATTAAAGCTCTTCTATTACCAAAATGTACATGAAAAACTACAGCTTCAATGGCTTTGTGTCCTAGAATCACTTCCTGTCCATTTCTCCTCCTGTTACTGAGATTTGTTTTCCCTGAGTAGATGTAGAAAGTCACTGATTGATGGACCAGATGCAGAGGCTGGCGACCCTTCTCAGTGGCAAAGAGGCTTTTCTGTTGTCAGCTGAGTCCAGGTGTCTCTACAAGAGTGTGTAGAATGGGTGTGAATGAAAATTTGCTTCCTTCCTATATTCTTTGTGGTTCTATTGTTTGATTAGTGGAAATTCCTCATGGGATGTGATAGTTCACAAGTATTCCCCCATTTCCTGAGTTGTTACAGCTTGGCAAATTTGTCTGCATTTCATCAACCTTTCACTGGGAATGTAAGATTAAATAAATCAGTTGCTAGTAGTTTATTGTCATTTTTTAACAAGGACCTTTCAGAGCCATTAGACTTCTGCTTTTAAAGAGCATGAACTCTGTATGTGAGGAGTAGGGGCATTAAGAGATACATGAGTTGTGGTCTGGAATTTTTGCTGATAGTTTACCAATATACTTTCTTAAGATGTCTAATGAAGTTAATGAGTGCCGAAAAATTGAGACCCTTGAAAATCTGGATCTGGATTTTGATGATGACGTCACAGAACTTGAAACTTTTGGAGTAACCACCAGCAAACCATCAAAGTCACCAAGTCCAGTAAGCACTTCCACGGTACCCAACATGCCTAACACTCCCATAGCCCCCAGTGTGGCAGCCACACCTGCGGCACCAACTGCGCCAGTGGACATTTCTGCTCACTCTAGAAGTTTATCTCAGATTCTAATGGAACAGTTGCAAAAGGAGAAACAGCTGGTGACTGGTGTGGATGGTGGCCCTGAAGAGTGTAAAAATAAAGATGATGAAGGATTTGTACCATGTGGTGAGAAGGCATCGGATAATTCTGACAAGACGCAAGATGGTGTCTTGAAAACATCTGATGCCTTGCAATTAGAAAGTTCTGCAGAAAATGAAACCTCTAATAAAAATGACATGGTTACTGATACTGTGTATGCTGATGAAAGACTAAATGTTCTAGAGAACACAGACAATTCAAAGGAAAAGACTGTTACATCAGAAGCAGCAAAAACTGAAGATGTGATGCTTTGCAATAGTGACACAGATGAAGACTGTTTAATCATTGATACAGAGTGTCAAAAGAATAGCAATGGAAAAACAGTTGATGGGGGTTCTAATTTAAGTTCTAAGCCAACCAGCCCAAATTCTTCCTCAGGAAACCAGACTAATGCTGCTTGTAGTCCTGAAGACTCCTGTGTTTTAAAAAAACCTATCAAACGAGTATACAAAAAATTTGATCCAGTTGGGGAAATTTTAAAAATGCAAGATGAACTCTTAAAGCCAATTTCCAGAAAAATACCTGAATTGCCCTTAATGAATACAGAAAATTCTAAACAGCCTCCTGTTTCCGAACAACCCTCTGCCCCTTCAGATGCCTCTAGTTGGCCAAAAACTTCATGGCCTTCTGCGTTTCAGAAGCCAAAAGGACGTAAGTAAATACTTACCAAAAAAAACTTTATATTGACTGTTTTGCTTATTCCTTGTCCTTCGTTTTTTTCCACCCTCATTCCCTCACTTTCTCTTTCTTATAACCTGTTTTCTAATCTTTATATAGTCATTCATATTTCATTTTTTAAACATACTGATGAGTATTTTAGCTTCCAAACTTTCTCTCAAAATACATACCCAAAGTTGTATGGATTTTGCAACCTATGTTTATCCCACATGTGCAGTAACCACTAAGCTTTAGGTAATGTTGTTTGCCAAACTGATGAATGGGAAGTGCATCAAAAATAATCATACACATTTATTAATCAAAAATGTATTTATTCTTGGTGTTTTGTACTTTCTCATTTTGTAAAATATATACAAAGCTTCACTTCAGCTCTGCCTAGATTAGGAAAAACATTTCTTTAAACTCTTTTTTTCTTCTCGCTTCATATGTTGTCACTAATTTATACTTTGGGGATAGTTAAGGTAGTTAAAAGAAAGAACCTTAAAGCTTCGATTTCAGTTCTTGCTGCAGTTCCAGTAAAAGTAAACAAGTGGTAATAGTGTGATGGTCAACTCAGATGAAATAGAAAGTTAAAGTTGATAGAAATTTAAAAGTAGATCATTGAATTATTTTATCTTGAATTATGCTAGATAAATAACTAATGTATTTCCAAATAAAACTGAGAAATATAATTATTTTTAAAGGATTGCCATATGAACTTCAGGACTATGTTGAAGATACATCAGAATATGTAGCTCCTCAGGAAGGAAATTTTGTGTACAAGTTATTTAGCCTGCAAGACCTGCTGTTACTTGTACGATGCAGTGTCCAGAGGATAGAGACCAGACCACGTTCTAAAAAAAGGAAGAAAATCAGAAGAGTAAGTTGTTACTTGCGGAGTTACGGTGTACTAGCCTAAGTTGATAATCAACAAATATTTAACATGGCATTGTTATGAAGTTTAATTTAAGTTGCTGATCGCTCTACTAGTAGTTTTTCCAGGCTGAAATTTTAGTAAAATACTGAAAAGATTTTCAGTGAGGAAAAGTGTTTAGTTAAATATAATAGTCATGAATGCTGATAGTGTTCTTGCATGAAATAACAAACTTTGTGGAAAATTACACCATCATAGATTTGACCTAGACAGGCCCATGTGTTCCTGCTTTCTCTGTCATTTTGGATTTCTATGATGACATATTACCCACTTTCTCTCTTACTTCAGGGATCTTCTTCACTCACTTTAGAAGTCCAAATTGTGAAACGTAGGTTTTCACAAACATTTCAAAAGTCTTCCCAGAATTATTAGGAGACCAAATGTCATTCTCTCTTTTTCCCTTGTTTCTTAGAGGTTCGATATAAGTATTTTCCTTAATTAAAAAAGTTTTTGCCCTATCTGGTGTGACTCAGTGGATTGAGTGCCAGCCTGCAAACCCAAAGGTCACCAGTTTGATCCCTAATCAAGGCACATGCCTGGGTTGTGGGCCAGGTCCCCAGCTGGGGGTCATGCGAGAGGCAACTGATTGATGTATCTCTCGTACATCGATGCTTCTCTTCCTCTCTTACTCCCTCCCCTCTCTCTGAAAATAAATAAAATCTTTAAAATATATATATTTATTAAATGTAAATACAATATATACCATGTTTTTTCTTCTTTTTATATCCTCCTTTAGAGCATAAGTATATTCCCCTTTCTCTGAAAATAAGTAAATAAAATCTTTTTTAAAAAAGGTGTTGCTACAGTTTGCTGAATTGGCTCTTTCTGCAGTTTTCTGTATTTGATATCTGAAATTATATTCCAGATTAGTTTGGTGTGTGTGTGTGTGTGTGTGTGACCACTGAATTCTGGTAAATAAAGAGTAGCTTCTAGATTATAATTGATTATGTAAGAAATAATGAAGTCTCTAATTTTTTCTTAAGAATTTTTTTCTTTTCTGTACATATGTCATAGTATATATTTTTGAAAGCATTAATGTCTAACCTACCACCCAATAAGGACCTTCAATGACCACTTTATAAAATTCCTAACCCATAATTTGGTTTTCATCACTACTTCAAACTTGAAATTTTAGAAACCAAATGGTTTTGAATTAAATGTATGGGGGAGTTTTTTTTGTTTGTTTGTTTGTTTGTTTGTTTTTTAGTAAGAGAAAGTCAAGGGTACAAAGACTATTCATTTGATATCAGTCTCTTCCTAGATAAATACCAGTATTCTCTATTAAATGATTTTACTTTATTTGCTAATTTTTCCTGTCTCATCTATCTTTAACTGTGATCAACTTAATGGCCATAGCATAAACATCTTGAATACACAGAGTGTCAGTGCTGTAGATTATATTTTCAAGGTGTTATTTATTTCTTTATTTACATCCTTACCTGAGAATATATTTCTTGATTTGAGATTTCTTGATTTGGTTGCCTCCCATATGCACCCCAACCTGGAATCATACCTGCAACCTATTAGGTGCCCTGACCAGGGATTGAACCTGTAACCTTTTGGTATTTGGGATGATGTTCCAACCAACTGAGCCACCAGGGCTCAAGGTCTTATATCTTTAATCCTTACTCACTATCTGATTTATTTGTGGGATAACCTTATTTCTTTCACTACCCTGTGCAGAGCCCATACCACTTCGTGTTGATTTACCAACTTACAAGTGAAAGTACTGATGGCTAGCGTTGCTTAAGTGAGAATACCCTAGGGATGTTTTGGGTAGTTACTTAATTCCTGAATTTCTGTTAAAGACACTCTTATTCACTTGACCACATTGAAATTTCAAATGTCAAAACAGAATCTTATAGGAGAGAATTCACTCTAATATCAAAGTCATATCAAAATATATCCAAACAATCCAGCCCCAAAGAATATCTGAATAACCTTATATTTGATTGTGTCAAACGCAGAATTAAATTTAAAAACCTTCAGTGAATAGTTATTATATTGCACCTACCATTGTATGTAATAGTTTAGTACACATCGTTTAAATCTCTTAGTAGAGTGTTTCCTTTGGAGTCATATCCTGTTTCTCTCTGTTTCTCCCAAATGTTTTATGCCACAGAAACTGAATAAATAGGTATTGAATAAATGAAAAAAAAATTGAGGGGTGAGGAAGGAGGAGGGTGTTTTGTTTTTAAGATTTTATTTATTTATTTATTTTTGGAGACGGGGAAGGGTGGGAGAAAGAGAGGGAGAGAAACATCAATGTGTGCTTGCCTCTCGTGCACCCTCTACTGGAGACCTGGCCGGCAACCCAGGCATGTGCTTGATTGGGAGTGGAACCAGCGATGTTTTGGTTCGCAGGTCGGTACTCAACCCACTGAGCCACACCAGCCAGGGCAGGAGGGTGTTGTTGAAGAAGGGAACTTTAGGGAAGTTGAGACACTAGTATGAAAAATTTAAAAGGGGTACCATTTAAACTGTAATTAGGTTAGAATCCATCCTCATCAATATTTTCTACTTAAAAATTAATTTGTTTAGGTAAAGTTTTAAAATACATTTAGAGGTCTCTTTAACCTCTGCTGTCCAAGAACTTCATCTTCTTTGGGTCTTCAGTTCTCTGTTATCGTAGTTGAGATTTTAGTTCCCAATATCATTTATCCTTCTTCATCAAATCACTGCTAAATAAGAACTACGCATCAGAGAACAGAGAACTTTGAACAGCAGCCAGTGTCAAATGACTGAATGAAATAAAGAGGGCTAATTTGGACCGGAGACGAAGCTAGATCTTACTACACATAGTTATGAAATACACACCAAGTAACTGTGAATAATTTAATATATTCTGTTATATGTCTCAGGAAACCAAGTTTCCTAAGAGATGTATTCTAAAGTGATTCTAAAATTTATTTTTTATTGAATTTACTGGAGTGATATTAATAAAATTATATAGATTTCAGGTATACAATTCTATAATATATCATTTATCCAATTATTTTTTAATTTATATTGATATTCCAGAATGCAAAAAAGGATAATGACGGTGCTTGAATATTAGGAAAAAAAAGAACGTACCCAATGAGATCAATGTCAGAAAATAGCTAGGAAATACCTATTTAGGAATGTATGTAAAAGTTTAAAAGGCTTATATGAAAAATCGGAAAAACAGAGAACCAAGAAAAGAAGAAAAGTTTTCACTTAGGGAGAATAGGAGTACCTATCAAGGGAGAAAAGAAATATTAGATTTAATTTTTATATTTAGAAAATCGTTATTACATTTAAACTTTCATTTTAAATTTAGACTACTGAGATAAAACATTCAGACTTACTTTTCCTAGGCTTCCTGGAGATGGCAGTAGAATACATATAGAAATTAAAACCAGGTTCAGGAGTTAGTTTTACAAATACAGCAATATTATAAAAAAAAAATTCTCTAAAGTATTTTCTTTTCAGAAATAGTAATAATTTTTATTTTTTTAAAAATCTGAACTCTGTAATCGATTTATGATTCAAAAGGGGAATCTTCTTCATCAATTATTCTTTTCCCAACCCTGCCATAAACTGACTCTGTGTCCTTGAGCAAATTTCTTAACCCTCAGAGCCTTCATTTATCTCCAGCTACTATTTGCAACTGTAAGTAACTTAGATGCAGATTGCCAGTTGCTGAAGAATCATTATGCAATAAAATGCTTTAGGAATAAAATTATCCTAGTCATTCTACATATCCCTGTTTTATGTAAAATATTTTATGTATTTTTTCTTTTTTCTTTTTTTTAAATCAAGGGGCCTGAGTACTCAAAGTTTGGACCCTGGAACAAAAACTTGTTAAAAATACAAAACCTTGGTTTTTACCTCAGATTCCACATTTTAACATGATCACATTCCTATGCACATTGAAATTTAAGAAACACTACTTTACAGTTTCAAAACTTTCAAAGGTAATTGTATGAACCAAACTTAAGATAAATTTTATCAGATTTGAATTGTTCTTATCACCACCATTGTGCCACGTCCATTAAATTTGTGAAAATCACTTTGTGAAAATCAGGAATTCTGAAACATTTATAAAATATTTTCAAATATATAATTAGTAACAGCTTAGTATAATTTCAAAAATATTGTACTAAATAGCCATGTCACTCTAAGTTCCATACATCTTGTGGAGCTTAGACACTGCTGGAAATGAAGACGCTGCTGTTAAGGGTAGAATTGTCTTTGACATAAATGAGATAACATGACTACTGTTATGTTATTTCACAAGTGTTTTTTTCCTTACATACCCTCCTTTAGAGCCGTAATGGGTACAGTTGTTTTACTTAATCTACTTAGTATCCTGACCAATACACTCTAAATGGATAATTTGCCAGGTACTAAGTGTCTAGAATAAAGCTTTCATGTTAAGAAAGCTAATGGAATTCACAGATGTTTCTGTAGGTATTAACGCTCATACACTCATAGAATGAAAACAAGCTGCTCAGAGTATTTGAGCCTTGGTAATGTGAATGTGACTAATGCTTTAAAGGGCCAAAAAATAAATACCTTTTTTATCCTCTTGAGAATTATTAGTATATTTTATAGTCATTCCTTCTCAGGATCTAGTTTTTAACCTTTGGGTAAATATGTATCATAGGCTCTGTTCCAAGGTTTCTGCTGTCAGTCAGATTCCCTGACAGAAGTCAAGTGTGTACATATGTGGGGGAGGAGGGACATGTTGATTGGGATGAGTTGGGGGCCGTTCAGGATCTCTTCTTCATCCACATCTTGCCCCCATCTACCAAGGTTCCGTCTATCTTTCTGTCTAAATCCTACCAAATTTGGAAGGACCAAATAAAATTACTTGAAAGCATTTTGAAAGTGGCAAACTATATAGGCAAATATATGTGCTGTTAATGGTAAATAAATGGAAGTTTCAAAAAGTATAACTTTGCATTGCAGCAATTTCCAGTTTATGTTCTACCAAAAGTAGAGTATCAAGCTTGTTATGGAGCTGAAGCTCTGACTGAAAGCGAAATTTGTCGCTTATGGACTGAAAGTTTATTGCACTCCAACTGCTCATTTTATGTTGGTAAGTTGTGTAAGAGGCTTTGTTCTCCTTTTTTATTCTCTGATAACTACATACCATATTTTGCCATGTATAATGCGCACCCATGTTTTTGGCCCAAACTTTCAGAAAAGCAAATCTTTCACTTTAATTTTTTAAATCAATTTTTTATTTATTTATACTTAGAAACAAACCCGATTATTGTATTTCAGGGTATTATTTTGCATAAGGATACTATTACTGCTTTTTAGAGTTACACTTTTAACACAGAACATAAATAAAAGAATTAAAAACATTTATATAAATACAGAATTAGCACTGTCCATATATAATGTGCATCCTTATTTTTCCCTCAAAAATTTGGGCAAAACAGTGCACAAAATACACGGCAAATACAGTACTTCTTTTTTAAAATTATATTTTATTGATTATGCTATTACAGTTGTCCCAATTTTTCCCTCTTTACCGCACTCCACCACGCACCCCCCACTCCCTCAGGCGGTCCCCACACCATCGCTCATGTCCGTGGGTCATGTGTGTAAGTTCTTCGGCTCCTCCATTTCCTATACTGTACTTTACATCCTCCCGGCTATTCTGTAACTGCCTATTTGTACTTCCTAATCCCCTCACCTCTTCACACATTCCCCCACAATCCCCTCCCATCTGGCAACCGTCAAAATGCTCTCTGTATCCATGATTCACTGGTCTTGTTTGCTTAGTTTGTTTTTTAGATTCAATTGTGGATAGATATGTATTTATTGCCATTTTATTGTTGATAGCTTTAATCTTTTTTCTTAAGTAATTCCTTTTAACATTTCATAGAATAATGGTTGGGTGATGCAGAACTCCTTTAGTTTTTTCTTGTCTGGGAAGCTCTTTATTTGCCCTTTGAGTCTAAATGATAGCTTTGCTGGTTAGAGCAATCTTGGCTGTACCCTGCTTTTCATGACTTTGAATATTTCTTACCAATCCTTTCTAGCCTGCAAAGTTTCTTTTGAGAAATCAGATGGCAGTCTTATGAGAACTACCCTGTAGGAAACTGACTGCATTTCTCTTGCTTCTTTTAATATTCTCTCTTCATCTTTAACCTTTGGCATTTTCATTATGATGTGTCTTGGAGTGGACCTCTGTGCATCCATCTTGTTTGGGACTCTCTGTGCTTCCTGGACTTGCATGTCTATTTCCTTCACCAAGTTAGGGAACTTTTCTTTCATTATTCTTTCAAATAAATGTCCAGTTTCTTGCTTTTTCTCTTCTTCTGGCACCCCTATGATATGAATGTTGGAGTGCTTGAAGTTGTCCCAGAGGCTGCTTACACTATCCTTGTTATTTTGGATTCTTTTTTCTTCTTCTTGTTCTGATTGGTTGTTTTTACTTTCTTATGTTCCAAATCATTGATTTGGTTCCTGGCTTTATCTAATCTACTCTACTGTTGTTTCCTTGTAAATTGTACTTTATTTCAGTTAGCTTATCTTTCATTTCTGACTGGATCTTTTTTATGCTGTGGAGGTCCTCACTAAGTTCCTTGAGGCTCCTTATAAACAATGTTTTGAACTCTGCATCTGAGAGCTTGCTTATCTCCATTTTGTTTAGTTCTTTTTCTGTAGTTTTGATCTGTACTTTCACTTGGGCGATCTTTTCTCCTCGTTTTGGCATCCTCCCTGTATTTGTTTCTATGTATTAAGTAGAGCTGCTGTGACTCTGTGTCTTGGTGTCCTGTAGGGTACAGTGGCACAGCCTTCCCTATCACCCAACCTGGGTACTTGAGGTGCATCCTTTGTGTGGGCTGAGTATACCCTCCTCTTGTAGTTGAGCCTTGGTTGCTGTTGTCAGGTCAAAGGGAGGGATTTACTCAGGCCAGTCAGCTGCAAGGACTGGCTGTGACCACTGACCACCAACCTCCGCCCTCCGTGGAGGATCAGCTGTGCAGGGGTAGAGTGGTGGTGCTCTGACATGATCTGTAGCTGTCCACTGGATGTGCAGACTCTGGGGTTTCCTGGGTGCAGGCCAAGCTCAGCCCTGAACTGTGTTCTGCTCGGGGCCACTGCTCAGGTTGCCTGAGTTACAGAGCAATCTGAGATGGCTGCTCCTTGTGCTGGGCTTGGAGGTTCCCAGGTGAAAACAAACTATGATTCAAAGCTGGCTATTGCTAATGCTGGGCCTGGGGCCACTTAGCAAGAGGTATGGGGTCTGGAGACTCACTGAGGCTGGCTGTTGCTTGTTTGAAAGGATTTAGGGAGTTGTGAAGCATGAGCCAAGACCAGCCAGTCATAAGGAAAACCCAGTGTTAACTGCTTGGATGGGCCTATAAGTTGGGTGGGACAGAGCCTCAGGGGATTTCCAGAGCAGGGGGAAAACAGTGTTGGCCAAGTTGATGGAGTCTCAGATGTGGCTTCAGCCATCGGCTTTGTGGCTTTGCAGGGGAAGGATTCAGAAAAGGGACAATGGCCTCTGCCTGCTTTTCTGTCTGGGAGGAAGCTATTCCCCACCTCTTGCCTTGACGCCAGACACTTCATTTCCTCCCTGTATGCCACTGGTGCCTTTTGAGCTGCTACCCTGGTACTGGAGCTCAGAGGGAGTGAGTTTGAGTATATGCTTCTGTATGTGGGTTCTTTAAGGATCAGCTGTGCAGGGACTCCAGTATTTTCTTTCACCAACTCAATCCCCGTTGGTTTTTACAGCCAGAAATTATGGGGACTTATCTTCCCAGCACTGGAACCCTGGGCTTAGGGGCCCGGTGTGGGTCTGGGACTCCTTGCTCCTGAAATATCCCTCCCAAATTTTTATCCACCAAATGTGGATATGGGACCAGTCCATTCTGCTTCTCCACCCCTCCCACCAGTCTGGGTGGATGTGGTGTCTTTAATATTATAATTGTCAGATTTTCATTCTACTCAATTTCTGGTGGTTCTGAGTGATAGCTGTTCTATAGTTAGTTGTAATTTTGATGTGGTCATGTGAGGAGGTGAGCTGTATTTGCATATGCCTCCATCTTGACCTGGAAGTCAATACATGCTTCTTAATTCAATTATAAATGTCAACTCTATACTTCTTGTTTTCAGTTTGTGGTTGTGTTAACATTCTTTTCTATTAAAACACCATTCCTATTCCAGAGTTAATGGTAATGTGGAACTAGTGATATCAAATGTTTTGATTTACCTCTTATTCCCTATCTATTTAGTTGTACGTGAATGTCAACAAAATTACTTTATTTTTAAAATATATTCTTAAACAGTGTAATTAACTAAAAACATAGGTGTTTTCTAATGAACTTCTTTAAAAGTAATTTTTAATTGCTTTGTGCATGTATTTTGATATGTTTTTGAAATTAAAATGATGTTTTCAAAAATCTCAAATAATTGATGAAATATATATATATTTTTCTTTGTTTTTGCTTTCTTGTCTTTGTGGGGTACGTACTTAGGCAGGGATTTAATTTGTGTTAGCTGGGTTCATGTACAGTTAACATACTTCACATAGAGAATAACTATCATTCTTGATATTTTTCCCTCCCAGCGGCATCTGCCTACAAATCTCAGTCAGTCCCAACCATCTCAGATTACCCGTCCAGTAAGCCATTTTCTTCCTGTGATCTCTCAGTGCATTGTCCTTTTTTTTTTCCTTTACTGCTCTTATGACTTGTTGCTTTCTACTTTATTGTCCTTTTTTACACCTATCCTGTCTTCCCATTAAATAATAAGCAGTTTAAGAATCTGATGAAACTTTGTATTCTCTTAGTGCTTAACATAATTCCTGGTATATGATAAATGTTATGAGTGTGTTTTTCTTGCTTAATCAAAAAAGGGTTACATACTGGCAAATGTTTTTCTGTATTTCAGCCAACCAATATTTTGTCTTCATATTCTGTGAAAGTATTAATAAGATAATTGATTCATCCTCTCTGCTTAACTCAAAAAGGAAGTGGCTAAATGCACTACTTGGTCTTACTCTAGCCCTCTCTTCATTCATCATAACACACTGACAGAAGTTTATTGTAGTAGTTTTTGACCAGTGACCACGATTTCAGTGTTCTTCCAAAAGGTCTGAAACATACCAACGGTCCATCCACATACCAAGAAGTTGCCATCCATATCCACTTCAGGAAAGGACTAAAGAAAAACTTATCAAAAAACTTAAAATCCTTTTTAAGTTAAAGTGTTGACAGAGAATAGGTATTCATGACTAAAACAAAGCTTGTTTGTTTTAAACAGTGCCAGTTTTAATGTAATGGCATAGACATACAACTCAGCTTTATGTATCACCACAGTGCCAGGAGGACAACTGTTCTTTTTAGTACCTTATGTGGTACTGCCTCATCTGTAAGTTGGGAATTAAGATAATTTTTACTTAACTTTTTTATTCTTCAGTTACAATTTACATTCAGTATTATTCTGTATTAGTTTTAGATGGACAACAAAGTGGTTAGGAAATCTGCGCTTCATAGAGTGGTCCCCTGCTGCTTCAGGCACCCACCTGGCCCCACACACAGTTACCACAATAGTGACTCTATTCCCACTGCAGTAATGTATGTTTCTGTGTGTGACTGTTCTGCAACTACCAATTTGTGCTGTTTAATCCCTTCACCTTTTTCACCCATCCCCCACACCTCCTCCCCTCTGACAACTGTCAGTCTGTTCTGTGTGTCTGTGAGTCTGTTTCTACTTTATTTGTTTATTTTATTCATTAGATTCCATGTATAAGTAAAATCATATGGTATTGTCTTTCTCTGCCCGATTTATTTCACTCACCATATAATACCCTCTTGGTCCATTCATGCTATCACAAAAGGTAAAATTTCATTCTTTTTTTATGGCCTATAGTAATATTCAATTATATATGCGTACCACAGCTTTTTTACCCACTCATCTATTGATGGGCACTTGGGTTGCGTCCATATCTTGGCTATGGTAAATAATGCTGCAATGACCATGGGGATGCATATATTCCTTCGAATTATTGTTTCAGGTTTCTTCAGATATATTCCCAGAAGTGGAATCTATCAGCCATAAAGCAGTTTTATTTAT